TATGATTTGATTTTTATACATCATTTATATCGCTTCACTTATATTTTCATTTTTTTTTGTCTTTGCATAATTTGGTTTGTAGTTTGCTCAACAAGAAATACTACGAATATCACTGCACTTCATGGAGTAATTTTCAAGAATGATAAATGTAAATAAGGTGCCTGCAATTATCATTGTTAGCAACTGTAATGTTAATTATTTTTGAAAATATTCAGAACTAATTTTGAAATTAATCGCTATAATTTCTTATAAGTAATTTTTATTCCGAATCTTCCATCACAAGCTTATTAATTAATTATCACAAAATTATTGAAACTAATGTAGAATTTTGTAATTTATAGTAAAATTCTGCAAATATTCGAGCTAATTCTGAAAGTAATCGCTTCAACCGCATTTTGTTGTTATGATTAACTAATCTTGAAAAACTTGACTTTTTTAATTATGATAAGATGCAATTTTATGGAACTATAACTTTGAAGGAATAAATTTTACAATCTTTTAAATATCACTGCTGCAATTCTTCGTGGTTTCATTAAAACTGTAAATAAATAAACTTCATTAACAATAATTAATTACCTTTAAGGATGAAAAATGTGTTGCTTTTTTTGGTAATAATGTTAGATACGTATTTAATTTATATTTGGTATTTTCAAAATGAATATCAAGAGAATCAATAAGCCACAATAAATCATTACTTTCCGTCTGCCTGTATGTTTTTTTCGTCAAGATAGTAATTAATGTGAGATCTACTGAAAATTGAAGCACAAAACTTCCCACAACATTATGACGATATTGAGGGAATATTTAATGAAGCTTATAACAATATTCAAGCTAAATAATTCACATCTCACTTTGCAGAGTAATTCCATTAACTTTAATATCATATTTGACAAGCAAGAATTATAATCATCATATGCATTTCTGATTATATTTTGTGATATAAACGTTTAAATAGGCATATAAATTTGTAACAAAAAGGGTTTTTTTTTTTTGGAGAGCTTTTGATAAGTTTCAAAACAAGCTCAAATATTTATTGTTTTAATAAAAGGCTTTTCGAGTATGACCATATTAAGTGTATACTTCATACATAAAGTAATGATAATATAATAATACAACTGAATTAAATCATTTCAGTCACAAATAAAAAGATAATTAGCTGACAAAATTAGCAGTATTTCATTTAGTCAACAAGATCAGGTAATTTTTACTATTTATTTCCTGTTAATCAATTTAATAAATAAAACATTTTTCAAATTTTAATATTAGTGAATTTTTCGGAAATACAAAAATATAATATTTGCAGAAATTTATGTTACGGTTGACAACGTTATGCTACAGATTCTTTACATCTGTACTTGCCTAAAATTCATATTTCAAGTTGATGAAAAATCCAAATTAATTTATAAACTGAATATACTTTTTACTTCTACATGATATTAAAATCATGAACTATTCACTAAAACAAAAATAGAAATTTGTATTTTGTGGGGCAGCTTTTTTTGATGAGGTGCTCAAGTTGATAAAAATAATGTCAGCAAAGTTAGAATGAACAATTTAAATTAATTATCCAATAATGTTTAAAATAATTCAAGCAAAAATCTTAATTTTAATCAATTGCTGGCAATAAATAAAAATGACAAGGACATATTTATTCTTTTATGTGAAGTGAAAAGGCTTGATTCGTTCAACACAAATCAAATTATTCAAGAACAAATTAACCAAACCTTGCTTAAATTTTTATGCACTACACTTTAATTTGCACTTTTTTCAAAACTCCATCAAATGATGCGCACCAATTAAACGTGCTGGTATGCAAAGCTACTTTTTGCATAAGTTATTAGTGAAGCATAATAACATGAAACTTTTGCTTGAAGGAGATGAAGTATTGAAATAGCAAATGAAAAGTTGTCTTATATGACAATTCAAATGTTTTGATTGTAATTTTTCAAATTTAATTACGTTTCAAAGACTTGTTTGTACCAGAGTTCTTTAAATCACGTCATGACTATGATGTATTTGTATTCTGTAACAAATATACATAGATTAAGCTGTAACTGCAGTCAAATCGAAAGCTAATGTTCAGAGCCATTATCGTTTTCAATTAAGTTGCTTATAAAAAATTGATGGTGATTACAAGATTATCAAATATTTTGAAGTTTATATCTTCATTTAAATAAAATTTAAGAAAAGCTTTGAACTCAGAAGCCACTGCAGTTATTATTGTCTAAAAATGGTATTCATTGATTATTGTCTATTGCTGTCTTAAAAAAGAGTTTCACAAAATCGAACAATAATAATTAAATTTTTCCTCAAATGGTAGTATGGAAAAGAAGAAATCAAAGAAATTTTAGATTTCAATTTTATTATTATTTATGAATTATGTGCAGTGAAAACATAACTATTGTTATGGATTCGTTGCTGTCTTTAATCAAAATATGCCATCAAAGTGTGTTCTCTTTTGCAACTTTCAATTTCGGTTTTTCCACTATGATGAAGTTGAATGATTTCTTGATTGGAAAAGTATGAATAACATTTCTTATTTCAGAAACTGTTGAGGTGAAAGAAGAATAAATTCTACAAATGCCAGACATAAATACAAAAACGCTTCATGTAGATAGCTGCGTAAAATACATTGCTAATGTGTAAGGTTTAGTATAAATGTACTCAGAAAAAAAAAATTAATATACAAAAGGCATAAACTGTGTAAAAGTTTGACTGAAACTTTTTCGTTTCAAGAACTGAATTGAAATCCATTTTCCCAACATTTTTGCTGCAGTTCTTGTTTTACAGATATCATTTGAGCTATCAGAATTTATTATACAATTTGATTTATCTATCAAACAAACCGCTAAATGATGCAAATTGAAAGCAATGAACTGTCTAAAATTGCAAATTTATCGGGTTATACATATGGATACTTATTAATTCAGTGATATTAAACTTCTTCATTTTCATAAAACCTTTATTTTTAAGAAAAACAAAATGTTTTGCTAAGTTAAATTATTTTTCAAAGATGAAAAACTGTTCATCAACTTATAAGTCATAAGAAAAATTAAACACTTTTCGTCTAAGTCAAATGATGCTTTCTTTCTAAAAAAATTTTTCCATATCAAATATGAAACTAAATATGCAGGAATATTTGATTTAATTAAATGATTGTCCCAACAACAAATAATACAAATACTGTGATTTAATAATTTTAACACAAATGAAGCAATAATTTTCAAACACAGAATTAACAATCTCAAATAACGCGTAAAAATACTTACAGTAGCGATTTCGACTGGAAATCACAACAAATTTTGCTTCTTTTTAAATATTAGATATTAGTAAAGCTAATAGATGTAATAATCGCAACCAGATGATCACTCTTTATAAGAAGCATTTTGATTACTTGCTGGAATTTGTCAAGAAAATGTAAAAACGACCGATGTGTGATTCCCTGAAAATCATTTCAGAAAAATAATAATTCACTTAAGTAAATCTTGGTTTAATGCATTGATATTAAATTGGATTACTACTTGTAAAATATTTGAATAAGTACTATAGAATATAATCATTTAATAATGAAGATTTGCACTACTAAAAATTGGCAATGATAAATTTTTATCCTAAAAAATCAAATCTTTACGATAATTACTTCTAATTCTAGCAGAGATCTACTCACTGCTCAATCAACTAAACAAGGAAAAAAAAGTAGTTTGATACAGTGATAATTACTTTGAATGAAGTATGAAAAATATTGCTTAAGAAATAAATTACCTCAAAATAAATTAAATTAAACGTGTATACCATATTTCTATTTCCTCAATGATAGAAAGTTTTATGCTTTCATACTTTCATAATTTTTCTAATTTTTAAATTGTCTCAACAAAAAGCCAGTTTTTGCATTTAAAAAACTATTATGTAATAGCAATCTTAGCTGTTACATACTTCTGGAAAATATCTCATTTTATGTTTGATATATTAGTATTGCTAATTTTTTTTTCGCTGAAAGCCATGCATAAGCCTTGTAAACAAAAATAACATTGCGAAGGCTTTAGTTTATGAATTTTATGACAGCTATAAAATTATTCTGAATAGTAATGCAATTGATACCAACATTGAAAAATATGTTTATAATAAATTATAAATTGAGAAAGCAAAGAAGCAAAAAAGATTTCTCAATTAGTTTTCTAATGATGGAAAAAACTTTTTTGTGTTTAGCCTATTAAGAATTCAAAGGTTTTCAAGTTGAAAAAACAAAACAAAACAAGATTTACCAGCTCGAAACATGCGAAGAACGATTAAAATTGATGCTCGAATTGCAGGATTACGACGATAATAGAGGAATAAATTAACCATTGAATTAATTTTCGTTAAATGAAATAATATTTGCATCACACTTTCACACTGCTCCTCAGATTCATTTCCGTTGAAACTACCTATAAAATGATTTTTTTTTACATATTTAGCATCCAAAAAATCCTGTTTTCAAACAAAATTAATTAATAAATAATACTAGCATACAATAATTTTGGATTTCAAATAAACTTACCATACACACCTAAAGCTCGTGGAATAGCATCGAGAAAAATAGTCGCAAAAGCGGAAAATGCTATTGTCATTGTCATTCGTAATTGAGCCTGACGTTGAATCATTGCCTGAAATAGCTATGGATTCATATTAACGCTTATTAAAATAAATTTTTAAAAATTTAAAAAGTTTTGCAGAAACAGAAAAATGACGATATATTTAATTTACAAAATCTATTTTATTCCAAAGTTGAAGAATAAAAACCTGTGAATGAGCAATGGCCCTTTCAACCCGATTTCTTTGTATTCGAACAAGATACATCACAGGAATGTATAAAAGAATACTAAGAACACTGGCAGCTGCTGTTAAATATTTGGAAAGCGCATAAAAGGTTGGTGATATATAAACGTTCATGCAAAGCATAGATATTTCAGCATGCACTGTGAGAGGTCGATGCCATGCAAGCATTGATAAAAGCAGAGATAACAAATAAGGCTAAGAATACTTTACATTGGTTGTTAATTACTATAAATGTATTACAGTAATTGCAAAACTTTTCGTGTTTATTATTATGAATAGTATCAGAGTGCACGAATTTGAAATAAAATAGAACAAAACAAAAATTCTTTAAATAAACCGTTCCAATGACGATACATGAATAAGTTGATCTCCATGTGATGTATTTCAGTGGAAGACACACGGAAAATAAACGATCAATTGTTAAAGTAAGAAGCATGAAAGAAGTTGCGAAGTCAGACCAACGCCACAACCAAGAGTGAGGTAGTAGCATGCAGTCAATTAATCGGAACTTTGTATTTTTTAGATCCAAAAGTATCACTGATATTCGATACAAACCACCACAAAATGTAGCAAATGCTGAAATTTTAAAATGTTTACAACAAATTCTACAAAACTTTCAATGGTTACTACAAGGATTATTCTTTCATTATGTCTAAAGAAAGCTTGAAATTTGAAGATTACAATTTTTAAGCTCAAGAAAACATCAAATATCACACGCCTGATTTTTCTTCTTACTTTTGTTTTGGTTTTGGTGCTAATTCTGAATTACAATTGAAGGCATCCTTATGCCGAAAAAAAAAATCAGGCAATTTTATTGCTATGCTCTTTATGAAGAATGAAGAAACCTTCAGCAAAATCAGCAAAGGATAAGGCGAGAATAATTTGAATTTCCCGACGATGTCGTAAGTTCTTATTTTTTAGAATAGCAATAATCAAAACGCTATTGCATACCATAGCACAAAAACCAAATGGAATAAACGTAAAAGCCTAAATTAGTTATTCTCTATCAATTTAAGTAATTACAAAAGTTGCTACTTTATTTAATCAGAAACCATAAATTAAATAAAGTCTAATCAACTACTATAATAATTAACTTGAATTAAAATTTTTTAGATTATGTGTCATAATTTTCTTTTGCTTTTTAGCATACATATTTATTTCACTTGAGATTAAAATTCCATTTAGATTTTCCATGACATTGATGTATATTTCAAAAGTTAATACGATATCTGTTCATTTTTGCAAATCACAAGTTAGAAAAAGTAATTGCCAATATTTTGAAGAAATTCAACATCCAATGAGCTCACTTTAAGGCACATAAATTTGTTGATAAATATTTTTTTTGTTAAATTATTTCTCACGCTGTAAAATTTAATGCTGCAATACTTATGAAGAAGGTAAACTTGCCTTCAGCAATTCATTATAATAGTGAAAACAATCGTCTATATCTGGAATGATCAACGGAAGCATCACTGTGTATTCCTATGGATGTCAAAAAAAAGTACATAGCCCATGTAAATGCATAACCGAACTGCACAAGTTAATATACAAAACTAAGAAAAACCCTTTGTAGTCCTTGAAATAAAAACTTTCTCCGACAACTAGCAGATAAATGACGTTACATATCTTCGTGCAATTCTTTTGGAACCTACTCCAAAGAGATAATCAATTACAATCATTGTTTTGATAATGAAAATCTACAACTTTAACTCTTAAAGTACTCAACGTTTGTTTCTTGTATATGCAGAATGACTTCTCTATATGTAAATTACTCAATTTTATCATACGTTGAGCAAAGATTTTTTCGAATCGACTCATTAATTTAATCATCACAAATGAGAGTGTTTTTGTTAGTTATTTGCGGTCAAGTAGTTTTCAATAATGCTCATAATTTATTCACTGATTTGTAGTGTGCGCAAATGTACTTTACACACTATTATAATAAGCTAACATCAACAAAATAGAATAATCATCATGAGTAATAAAACGAAAAAAGAATTAATACGAGTTACTAATAATAACAAATAATACATAAATCTAATGTTAGAAAGCTATACATAGTCCTTAAAATTTACTAAAATTAAATTTTTAATACTGGATAAGAGAGGAACAAGAGACCAGTTCGAAAGTTACTTAATTTGAAAAAAAGATAACAAGAGTTCTACAAAACAAACAAAATCTCAGCTAAAGCAATTATCATTTCTTTCGAAATCTACACTGCGAATTACTTCATCGAAAACTGTATTTAGAAATATCCATAAATTAGAGAAAAGTTTTTAATACATACTCGGAAAAATAATAACAATTTAATGATACAGCTTTCTGATAGCTGCTATTATCTGTGATTTTTCAATCAAAATAATCCATCCAAAAACGGTTCTCTCTATACGAAATTATGAAGCTTACTAATAATAAATTGGAAATATGGCATTATAGATAATGTGAATTAGTCAAAAAACATACCTACTGTTCTTTATTTCTACCTCCATGTGGACACGTCATGCAAAGCTCTTCCTATGGTCTAGAACATTACAGTAAATGATGAAAATGCATGTTAAGATTCGGCAATATTTGCTAACTTGAATTCTGAATTTGTCAAGAGTAAAACAAACAAGTGCATGAACCTTGCATCTTGCAAAGATTTTCAATCAGTTTTTTTGAAGTGGTAGAAGCGAAAGTTGTTTGATAGACAAGAGCTAATTCAATATGTAACCAGAGATGGAAGAAAAAACGACTTCATAATGATTTATGAGAAACAGTGAAAGAATGATCTCTAATGAGCAAAGCAAGGAATTTCAATAATTAAGCATATTGAAAAATAAAATATGGCAAAAGTTGAAAAATTGAAAAAAAAATTCACAATTAAATATTCCCAAAACAACAAAAACTGGGGATATGATCACGAGAACAATAAAATGAAAAGAAACATGAAGTTGCCTGAATAAGAAGATGTAAATAACAAGTAGCAAGGAAAAAAGTCAACAGTGCACATGACCGTAACACATCAGATTAATTTAAAAAACACTGGTATTATTATGAGACCGAGATTCTAATAGCAAATGAATAAATTCTTAACCTAAGTTGTTATTCAACAGTCGAGAACTCTACAAAAGTTGACAGAATCTTGAAAAACAAAATCGAATTGATATAAATGCAAGGACTGAATATATTAATTTAAAAAACCCAAACAATGAACAAGGAATTACAAATTAAAGTCAAGCCGTCCAATATTTCACCTGTTATTTGGTATCATGAAAATAAAAGTCTACTTTGTTTTTCACGCTTACGAACTTAACTATCAAGTAATTACCAATAAATTAAACTTGAATGTAACTAAAGATCTCAATATTTACGGCAGTTACAACTGAAGGAAGTACTTTTTAATAACTCATAAGTATTGAACCATTTCAATTTTTTCCAAACCGAAATATTTTCTTCAAACCACTTTCTTTTCTCAACGGAACAGGTGCAACAAGGCAGCTGAAAAAAATCAGTCACATGAAAAATAATCACAGAATTAACAAGATAAAATACTCAGTAATTAGAAAAACCACATACAAGTAAATTCAAAAAGTATTTCAGTAAAAGAATAAACAGGAAAAAACCTGTTTCAAATAATACTGCAAGCATTAAAATAACTATTTTTTTTCCAATGTAAAGAAATACAATGATTCAAGATAATTAGTAATCATACTCTGAAGATATGGAATTCGTTGGAATAACAACGTTTCTCATGGATGATAAATCGAGTGAATCTGTTGTTGTAAAATCAATCTGACCAACCGAATTTAATCGTGCCGAAAACGTACCAGAAGGCACTGATGTTTTATGAATTTTACCTGTAAGAGTTATGAAGCATGAGTCCACAAAATCAACAATAATACAACTGAAAATCAAACTTTGTACCTGTTTGAGAACGACCCGCCTGTAAAGCAATATGAGGATTCAAAACTTCGCCCTCACCACTTTGACGTCGCATATCAACAAACAAAAGTAGAGATGATAATTCCAAGTCTTCGCTGAATTGGTTACGAAGAGTAACAGATCGAAACCCTAAGAAAACAAGCTTAACATTGTTACAATGCCGTTAAAAAATGTGCATTAAAAAACCGAAATTACATAACGAAGTAACTAGCTGAATAGTTGAATGATATTAATAAATAGCTCGGAAATAGAACCTGTACGGATGCAATCAAGTGGAAATACAGCTTGTCCGATGAATGGATCTGTTTTGGGTCCCACAAAATCACCATCTTCAACATATAAACGAAGTAAAGCTAGTTCTGGACAATAAACTTTGAAACCAAATTTTTCATTCCAAACAGGATTTAGACCATTTGAGGCTAAAGAAATTTATTATTGATTATGAAATTCACTTATATCTGATCAAAACTATTAAATGTTTCAAAAGAATTATTCATGCTTTTTGAACAGATTACTACTTTATATGCTTTTGAAAAAAATAACCAAAAGCTCTCGTGCGAACAGTAGTTGAATCAGCTGGCAAGCCAATCATTTCAATAGTAACGACGGGAGAACAAATGCCCCGATTTTGGTCTTTCCTTTTCAAATGCTGTCCGGCTATCACCTTAAAAAGCTTTGCAAACACTGATTTATACAAACAAAGTAAAACGAGAAACCCTAAAAATCTGAAAGTAAAAATAATTTGTATTTCAAAGCTTCAAAAACATAAAAATATGAAGATTTGAATATTTTCACTGCTATGCAATTAATCAACAGCTTAAATTCATCTCATTATTCAATATCAAGAAAAAGCCCTGACATGAATAGTGAGAATTATTGGACAGGATGTAGAAACAATTTCTGCAGCAGCGGGAGAAAACATCTCATCAATCATGTAAGACGGCTTCAATACATAACCGCATTGTCCATTTGCCATGAATTTACCTTGATTCAACTGCATTGGCTATAAAGTAAACAAGAGACTATTCAAAATTCTAAATAATGTACAGGAATCATGACAGAACAAGATAAATGCTATACCAATCGATTTCAAAATAAAGAAAAAAACTGTTAAACAAATCGTTATTGTTGAGCTATAACAAGCTTAAACTAAAAAATAACATACTTACTCGTAATAAAAGATATTCTAAGGAAAAAATTTATCAAATAATTTATGCATCAAGTACTAGGAGAAATCAAGTACTGAAAGTACCTACATAAATACAATTTTTATTTATCGATTCAGTTTCGAAATGAGTACTCAATACCAACCCTATCCCCAGTCTGATAATTTAGTGCCACCATATGACATGCAGCATTCCACATCGGTATCGGATCGTAATTTGCTGATGTGACACGAGAACCTTGTGGATAAACACGCGACAACTGCCGAGAGTTAAACTGAACCAAGCCTCGTTCCATTAATTTCTCGAACTTTGTTTCACTGAACGAGCACATCTCATAGAAGTTACCCTGTGCTGCAAAGGTCAAGACACACGATAAAATGTACAACATTTATTTTACTCCTGCACTCTTGAAACACTTTTTGAATCGATCAACAATTCGTTTTATCACGACAACATAAAAACTGGACACTCAATCATCACAGCTCCCACATCAAAATTAATTATAATGCCTGTTTTTTCTGATCAACATTTTTCGCTATTAAAATCAGAAACTGAAAACAAATACTTACTTGCAAATTGTGAACTGAAAGGTACTGCTTGACAATATACTACTAAATCAGATAATTCTGATGCTATTCGTAAAGTTCTCTCTCGAGTGCGTAACAAAACGTTGCGATCTGTAGCTGTTCTAGTCATTTCAAGCAAAATATTTAACCAGTCTTCATGATCTTCAGATGAATTAGCTGCTATTATGTATTCCTAAAACGTCTTTTAATGTTTGATCCTTCGAGTGAAATTGATGATTCGTTTAAGCAAAAACGAAAGTTGGAAAAAGAAAAAAAAAAGCACAACACTTGGATTCCAGTGCGTTGAAACACGCTTGATTTTGATAGCAAATGGTCGACCAGCAACTTCAAGAGGCACTTCTTCAATCACACTGTCAGCCAAATCAATAGTAGCATACAAACCTAACTCAGTCTGAAATACGAGTACCACATAATTTTTAACACCGAAACAAAAACCAAAGAGAATTTAATCATATGTGATATGGTGAGTTGAATTTTTAACAACATACGCAATCTTTCTGAATGCTATCACAAACCAACCGTTTGATTATCGGTTACTTCCAATTCTATGACACATCGAGCAGGAAAAAATCCAAAACGATTACCATATTTGCCACGCCATCTAAAATGCATTTTTATGATAAGATTTTACGCTAAGATAGTTTCTGAAATGCAAAACATGAAAATTCTCACCGATCGCCTTCTTTCCTTAATACAGTCATTAATGCATTTACAGGAAATGACAGCTCATTCGGACAAGACCCGTTGTATGGTTCAATTGCTCTAACCAAAATCTGAAACACAATAATGTTTCAACCCAGATGAAAGCACAAAGTAAAATGAAAAAAACAAAGAATCGCTTGAAGAAAAAATATGAACTGTACTGCCAAGATTACTCAACCCAATCCTTACAAATTTATAACCCTCAATGACCAAATTTTTAAATACGAGATGAATTTTTTTTCAAAACACAGAAAGAACTGAATATTTAAGATTCCTAAGGTGCTCAGAAAGATGTGAATTAAATACTATGTTTTGATTTAAATACTTTTTCTCTGATTTTTCACTTACCATCTAATAACAGAAAATTTAAAGTGATTTACAGAATTTTTATTTTCGCGTGTGTGATCTCATGAAAAACTAAATTCTATCACAGATGTTCTGAATCAATGAATTCGTACGTTGAATCTATTGATTCTTCTACTAAATATTTTTTTTAAATATAAAGGAAAAAACAAAATATGATAAGAAAGCTACACAAAATCTACATGTGATGCATTTAATACAATGTAGGCTAAAAATTCAGTGCATAGGTGTTTATTTGACTTGATATAAAACCGATGCACTGACCTCTTTATCAATGTCTTTCAGTTCCATGTAGCATCCAGATGCCACATTAAGGTTGAATTTATCATCTGCAAAATTTATCGAAACATTCTCGCTTACGGGATATTTAAGACATATTCCACGAACAAATTCTCTCGTTGAGTAATATTCAACAATTTGATTTAAATTTTCGAAAACTGTTTGGTTCACTACGAAAATTCGTCCATCTCGCTTTAAACGATAATGCCATACTTCACCATCAACTCTATTGAATACAATATTCTTTTAAGACTTATTACACGAAGAAGCATTTCCATTTTATTCCTTTAAATTACAATGTACCAAATTCAAAAAAGAAAGAAAATGTAAAAAAATACCTTAATGAGATCACAAAAACATTTTTATCAGTAGAACTGTAACGCAACAGAAAAGATCCATCTTTTCGAACAGCGTTCAGAAGATCTTCAGCTCGATTTTTATCAGCATGCTCACAAAACCATCTAAGACTTAGAGCTTTTAAAACAATATAATCTTCGAAACACTACTTCTGCCGTAAACTTGAATAAAGAACCTAATTTTATGTCTCCTACTCCTGATTCTAATTTGCTTGCTATTTCTTGGTGAAAAATAAGAATTAATAATTTTCTGCCCAAAATTCACCATGATTTCGTTGAAAGTCGATGACGCTTCACAATACAAGTAATGTAAAAACAAAGACTGAAATATAGTGAACTTAATAGTAAAAACTCACGACATCCCAAGATGAGGACAAGGCTGGGGACATGGAGTTATTAAAGTTGTGCTGAAATTCGGAGTTCGCAAACGTTCTTTTGTGTAATGCGATATAAGTTCATAAAGCGTATCCATCTGCTTACTTTCCAAAAAATAATACTTTTTTTCACCATTCACCATTTTGGTACGTATCCGACAATGATGCACCTCCCCATCATGTCTGAAATTACTAAACTTAGATATTAAACAAGTTTGATCAACTGCACTATGTGTCAAATATATTAAACGAAACGATAATAAGGGAATTAATATTAAGATTAATACTACTTACAGAAATGATAATGAATAGTCGCCAATGAAAATTGTTGAGTCACGAACTAAAAAAAGACCATTGCCTTTATCTTTATTTTTTAAAAGACGAAATTTTGCAGTATCTCGATCCGTTTTGCTGTGAAACCATTCCTCTGTGATATGCATTTCTTCTGGACGTACACCAAATCCTATCAAGTTGCTCAAATCATCCTTCAAAAAACTTTTTAATATTATGTTGAACAAAATGCTTGCAGATAAACTAGTTCTTGAAAGCAGATATTTCAAACTAAAGCTAAAGGCACAAGAACACAGTACCTGACCTTCATCGTCTTGTATACTGCCAACAGAATCTTCACGTTTGAGAATGTCACGATTACTGATGTTATTTTCACAATGCTCCAACATATAACACAAACGGTCCGGAAAGAGAATAAATAGGTGCGTAGTCCATTCCTGATAATTTTCGCATATTTCAGTGAAAAAATTAAACTTTATTTTCAAAACAAATGAGACGTCGAAAACACTTGCTCAAGAATAACTCAAATTGCTCATAACAATAAATTAATTGTAATAAAAAGCTCCTGAAGAAAAAATTGATGTGACAAACATTATTAGCAGAATTTTTCAGTGACAAAATTCCTCGTCGGGTGAATTTCATTGCGAGTAAATCTGCCTCTTGGTCTGGAAAAGCATTCATATGGGATATAATAACATCGAAAAAAACTACGAGTTGAAAAAAAAATGCTAAGTCGGCCACTTTCAAACTTCCGACACAAAAATCACTAATAAATTTGACATATGTTCGCCTTGATTTGAAATGATTATTGTTCATATTGATTTATCTTTAATGAGAAGAGTTTCGTGACACGACAGAAAGACATAAATGGTGAATAACATCAGTCCAGTAATACATTTGATTAATTTCGTATATCTAACCCTCTTCAAGTAGTTGAGAAGCACTATCTTCAATTTCTGTTGGTAATTTTTTGTGTTTCAAGATAATTTTTCGTTTCAAAGTCGCTGGAGATGGTAAACATATTTCATCCCGGCTGACTGGAGTTGTCAACAAATATTCTCCTAGTATTTCTTTAATTTCACGAGCAAGCAAGCGTTGTGCAGGTACAGAGCAGTTGTCTTCAATAGAGAGAATGACTGGAAACCTAAATTCATTTACCAAAGAGATTTCAATCCGAATTAAAAAAAAAAATGAAACGGTTCAGACAATGACAAAATCAGAAGTTTAGACTGAGCATATTTCAACTTTGCAAGACTACAATTTCCAAATAACACAGTATAAGTCACAAAAGGATGCCACAGAAGTTTGAAACCACGATAACGGCAACGAAAATCAAAGTTAGAAAGGTAAATTATTCTGATAAATCAGTTACACATCGCCAAAGTTATGCCTGCTCAATTTAATACCTACATATCTCAAAAACCAACAACTAATCCATTGCAAACATTCAGAATATTTTAATGTATAACTTACTCGCTATTAATAAAAGCATAGTGTCGAATCGTGCAAAGTACGTCACGCAAATTAAGCTTACTAGTCATTGTATGGCCATGATAAACAATAATATCTTGTATTTCACCAGAACTCTTCTTCTGACCATCCCAACAATCAACTATAAGAAAATATAAAAATCAACCGCAGATACCATATCATATTCTGATACTTCAAATATAATTAAACTGCCCCCTGCTAACAAACTACTTAATCACTTGAAAAAAATCTTAAATGCAATAATCGCAGGATGATATATTTAGAAACCATCCCTTTTTATATTTTCTGTAATAATTAATTAAAATTTAATAATATTCATTATGAGTAAATGAACTACGTTCAACACATCTGCAACCCATAAGAAGTGCTCGAGCATACGCATCCAAAGAAGATTCACTTCTCAACTGATCCCCAGTAAGATATCTGAAGTTATTGTAGCACGTTAAAAATTTGTGAAGAAAGAAATGGAATCACTGTTCAACTCATTTGATAATCGGTGCTCGCTGACACTTGCAACTGAAAGTACGATGAAAAGAGTAAACAAATTCTGTTTTTAATGCATCTGGTACCATATACAAAACTTGCGTATTGTGTGATGAAGCAATCCAATAATGACTTAATGGCCGATTCATATCATGCACAACATTCTCATTGATAGGATCCCATAATGAATTTTCTCGTGAAAAAAGAAAATCGCAAAACTGAAAGTAATGTACTCACGAATACAAAACTTGACAAGCAACACATAAGAAAATAAAAATCTCGATTTATATAATTTACAAGTATAAAATATACCATAATTACAATTATTCGATAGAATAATAGAGAAGCAAATGAAAAATACAAAATCTTACCTCAGTAATGCTAAGCACTGGCTCAGGAACGTCTCTATACGGGTCACATTCTCTCAAAAAACGTCTTAGAAAATCACTAGCCCTTTCACGTACCAATCCTATTTCATCCTAAAAATTATCTTCATCAATTCCAGAACTGTACAAATGAAACGGTTAAAATTTGCTGAGCAGTTCAGTAAACAATAATGATTTGCGATTAAAAAAAAACAGAATCAAAACAATACGATATAAACTTCTAAAGACTGCATGCAAATTCTCTATCATTATTAGGCAAGCGTAAATTTATCACTTACATTTTGTATGTCCTTATTGAATCGTAAAAAGTTGTTAAAGCTAACAATACATGCATCATCTGAATAGGCTGAAAAATGTTCCGCAAAAAGCTGAAAAATGTGTAGAAAATTGTACACACATGATATAATATTAAACAATTACATGAGCTAAATGTATATAGATCAATGAAAGTTTGGAGAAAATGGATTCAGAAACATAAATCAAAAGACAAACTGAAATGAATGACTTGCAAGAGCACATTAGACATGAACAAAGAATGCAAAAGTGAAAATTTTCAAATGACATTATACTTACAGAATTAGCATGAAGAAGTTTTCGATATGCATTTGCAAAGGCATCATAATACATCGTTTCCTTAAGCGAAATGAAAATTTTATATATTGCACTCAGAATGAAAATGACATAAACTATCTGCTCAAGACAAATGTTTTTTCGACACGCCTTTCTTCTCAGCTCCAAAATTTTAAATTACTCGGAGGCATTTTGAAATGAATCAGATATTCAAACTTGTTAGCTTATAGTAATCAAATATTTCCGAAAAAAAAAATTTTCAACGATAAACAAATTATCTTATGAATCTATTAAGAAGCTATTATATTATTTCAAAATACCTCGCAAACTTCCTGGAGTTGTTTTGATTGTACTTTGCACTGCAAACTTATTTGTACAAAAGGCTTCATATGCTTCATTGCTACGCTGTAAACTGCATGAACATTAGGTCAACTAATAAATAATTAGAAAATATAAAAAACTTTTAGAATTATAAAAAATCACAAATGTTTCTTCCCTGTATAAAATGTACCAACAAATAAGCTACAAAAGTTTTGATTCGACATTTTTATATGCTTTGAAAAAAGATCCATACTTTTAACTTCGTATTGTAAAAATAGAAAAGTTTCCAATGAATCAAATATCTTCAAACTTTTTGACAGAACTTGCAAATTATCCACTTGAAAAACCAATTTTATTAAAGAAAATTTGTTTCAACTTCTTAATATTTAACTTACAAAGGATTTTTAGCATCACAGCCTGCAATACCATAAAATTCTTTTCTCAGCCATCGTTCAACCAAGAGTGTATGACAAGCAGAAACTGTATCTAGCATCAAATGATGGACACCTTGACACCACATACGACATACACGTTTCGAATCAACTGAAGAAAAAAAACTCATTTAAAAAAATGTTTTTTAAATCCAATATTTTTTTTCAACTCAAGTTGTTAGAGTCACTTTGAACGAGTTTACGAATTCCCATAAAATTTCCACAACAATGTAAGAACATCTAAAATTTTATATTTCATGCTTTAAATTATAATCGCTTACAGAGTAAAATCCAGTACCGCAGGTTAAAACTTATTCCATAACTAATAACTAATATTCTCGTAGCATCGAACTGCTTAATTTCCTTATCTTTTCCCCATTTGTCTCTTATTCCAATCTTTTGCAATTTGAAATCAAGCGTGTGCACTTCCTTCACTAATCGTAACTCTAATCGCAACGTCTTACTGACATTCTAAAAGGGAACAGTAAAAATCAAACTTATATTTCATTCTTGTTAGTATTTAATCAAAATCACCGGTAATGAATACTAATATAAGCATGATAATATGCTTATTTGATGAAAATAACTTTTCATCTATTATCAAGATTATTTCCATTAATGATATTAAATTAGAAAAAGAAACACCTTCAATGACAATCTGTAAATGACCAGAAGCACAAAACGATTTTTTAAAAACCTTTTCAAGCACATCCGTCTTTGATAAAAACAGCTGTCTTGTTTCACGATTGTATCGAAGCTTTTTCTGGATTGGATCACGCCGTTTAAGAAGTTGCAATCTGTACACATTATGGCCTGAAAAAAAAATAATACGAAGCTGTTATACATTACTAGTTTAGAATCAAACTTTGCATTACTACAGAGTGTACATTATACAATAATTTGCTACTAAATATTTAAAGAAATCAAAAGTGAGATTAAACAGAGTTGAATACTGCAAATCACGTTTCATGACAAATACCATATTCCCGTGCCCTATGATACGCACTTTTAAGTTGTCCTTCATGTTAGTAAAAGTATATTTAAAATACAATGTTTATATTTGCTTTCCGATAATGAAAATACCGATTTCCATTGAATGAAATATCTTTTCCATTCCGAATTCTGTGGACTGCGAAGCCATTAGAAAGTTAGCTTGGGCGCAAAAGCGAATAAATTGAAATAGTATTAAAATGCAAAAATTTTCAAATATTCATCGTACACTTTGGTTTCTTGCTTAAAAAGACATCACTGCTAATACTGACAATAAGTGAATGAGATTCAAAATGGCTTACATTTCACCCTGTAAAAAAATTTAAATTAAAAAAAATTGGCTGGAAAATTTGAATTGAGAAAAAATAAATACTAACAATGAAATTTTAAGATTCATAACTTTCCCATCAAATTCCTTGACTATTATACAACAAAATAGCGAACAATGAAAGTTCTTTCAACAAAATGAAATAAGTTAGAATAATCATTTAGCTACAGTGACTCTAATGCATGGCTACTTCAACTATTTCTGAGAAAAATTATTTCTACAGAAATCTGCAAACTGCCATCATATAATAGGATTTCTTTTTGTGTATAGATTCGTAATTACTACAGTATACAATTTTCAAAGGAATACATTTTTCGAGATATACAAAATTAGCTTGCCAAAGCACTCCTGTTTGAGGATTATTTTTTCGCAATGTTAAATCTTCACATTATCTCAATCAACAAAATCCATCAATAGAAAGTAAAGATATGAAAATGCTTTCAATTAATATATATTGTTGATTAAAATCATGTAAAGATCTAACTAAAGATTGTATTAATTTGAAATGAATTAGATAGGAAAAACTAAGTAGCAAAAAAAGTAACCACTGGCAGTAGTAAAGAACAAAATACAGCTGCAAGATTGCAAAAATATTTGCACAACCAGCAAAAACTTTACAAAAAAATAATAATTTACCTTCCAGAAAAATTTTAATTGTCATTTTTTCTTTTAGAGCAGTCATATGTGTACAGGTATGTGTCTGCAAAATACAGGTTATTTTAAGTTTTTGCTGAGTTTTAATCCAAAGAAACTTCAAAAATTTTCATGGCAAAAACAAATTATTGCAACAGTAATCAACTGGTTTTAATTTGTTGCAAGAAAATTAGCTGTAATATAAACCTTTTTAATATTTAACTATGTAACTATGCACGTATTTGCATAAAATTAGAAATATTTTATTTATATCACACAATTTAAAATTAACATTAAGCTTTATTACTTTCATTATCTTCTTGAGCAATGATTACTATCAAATAAAGGCAATTATACACAAAACTTTTACTTCCTTGCTTGTCTATCAGAAAATTTTATCATTTTATTAAATAAAATGCAAATTGATTCTGTATGAAACATTTATTACAAAATTTACACATATTTTTCAGCTAAAACAAAATCAAAGCAAGAAAAAACAGTTTTTATGATAGAAATTACTTTTTGTGTCATCATTTTCCATCATAGGACCAAACAAAACCCTTCTTCAAATAATTTAAGATAAATTGAATCAAAACAAAAAATTATAGAATTGTGTGTATGTTAATCTCACAGAGTTTACATGAAATGAACGAATAAATAGTTGGATGAACGTAGCATGCTGATTTAAAAAATCTCAAAATCGATGCAAAATAAGATTACAATGCAAACTTTTAATTTTTTTCCTTCACTGAAATTGCTTCTTTCTGTCTACTTCAGTGTGAAATTACTTCTTTCTGTCTTCTTCTTCCATCTTTAGCATAAATATTACATAGCTAACCATAAGCATTTATTGTGGCTACTTCCTTAGCATGCATCATTTCAGCAAGAAATAAAGTTAATAAGTAAATTTTGCAAAGTTGAAATTTAAGAAATTTAACACTTTCACAAGTATTTGTTAAAAACTTTTACTGACTACAAAACCACTTGAGCAAATTTGCATTCAAATTGCAATGGCTAAAAATGACATTGCATCAAAAAATTGCCTTCAGAATAAAATGTATTAAATGCAATGAAAACTTCATATTAATGCTTGTTATCTACAATAACAGTGATTAAATTTTTGCTTTTAATTACTGTTCTTAACAAGAATTGCGATTATTTACTGTTATTACTTTTAATTTCTCTCAAATTTTCAATAAATTAAGCTAAGCTTGCTTTAACCATTAAATTTTATACCAGTTAGTGGTAATACAATGCTGATAACAATCGGTGCAAAGACTACTGCTAACCAATGTAATTTAGCTTACTTTAAACATATATCGAAAATAATTTTGTCACGCTCAAATTTTTCTCCTTCGAACAACTTATGATCTACTGATCGATTTAAGTTTGATAACAATAAGTGTTCTATAATGATAAGTAATGAGAAGACACATAATAATGATAGTACTAAACAAATGAGCGACAATATACTTATTGTACTTAAAATCGTGAAAATGATTGAAAGCATTTACAGTACGCTCGAATATCGTTATAAGACCACAACATTTTGAAAATTCGTACGGTATTCGTAATGCATAACAACGACGATTTTATTGTCTTATTATGCTCAGTAGGAAATAAAGTTTTCATCATACCATTATTGTGAATGAACAGTAGCTCATTACTTCATTATGCAGAAATCGAAGCATGAACATAAATGCGAAATAAAATTTGAAAGGTAAATTAATCACCTCTTGCTAATTTTTTTTTGTTGAATACTAGCAAGATTGACAAAAGCCACTTTGAGTAATTTTTATCGTATTGCATTGTAGAATTATTTTTTAAACGTTCTCTGCTAGTTGCGGACATAAATTTTAGGAATAGCATAAAGATGATGTTTGCTTGATACATTCAATAATGTGTCAAAGTGAAAAAAATTTATAAAAGTCACAAGGATAATGAAGATTGCAAGTATAAGTCTGAAGAAGGTGATTGCATATTCAAGGATTACCATAGAACAACATGTAGGCACCACTAACTACTAATGTTGCTATCGAATACGAATTGAAATCTGTTGCTCCAATAATTACGCATTTCTTCCATCAAGAAAAGACTTCGAGATTTGAACGCTGCATGAAGTAAATGACAATATATGCAATGTTTGAGGTATGGTGACAAATTTTAAACATGTACACTCCATTATGTATAAATTTTTTTCAAAAGCAGTGAAATTTCAGATAGAGTGATGACAAATGAAAAACAAATGAGAAAAATAAAATCTTACATCATTCAGAGCGAAAAAAAAATTGGCAAAAAACTACAACTTCAATAGGAGCTCTACTAATTTCAGAGTAGTATTCTGAATTATCTTGAAACATGCAGCTCATGAACTTGATTCTTATGATCTAGTGTCAAGATAATACAATGAAATATTTGCAACAATCTCTGCAGTCTTACAAAATTTTGTGTGCAATAAAGACTTCGCTATTGGTATTATCTTAACGCTAGATTATACCTTAAAACTTACCTTTACACAACATAATACGACTTATTAGTGGTATATGAAATTAATGCAGTATACTTTTGATAATTTTGTGTTACTTCAGTGCTGAGAGCAAATTGTTCTGACCAATTTTCTTGACAGTTCGCTTATTTAACAAATGTAATCAAGACAGAAATTGATAACGAAGTTCATGCGCTGCATAAATACATTGACTGTTATGTTTTTACAGAAACCAGAAGAGTACCACATCCTAAAGTATGGTGCGAAAAATCTGTGAACCAAATACCACAGAAACAAACCGTTCTACCTTTCCACAATACCATTTCGCAGCAACTAAACTCCTTTTTTTTCTAGTTGTATCAAAATGAATACAAGGACAATCATAATTTAATAGTATTCAACGTCGCAAAAATTGGAAAAGGAATTTGATTACCACCTTTTTTCACATTCAAAACAATTCGATTCAAATACATTTTCTAGCAATAGCTTGAACAGACTTTAAAAATTTATCATAAATGCAAGAAGGAGTGATAACAACAGTTAATACTGAATAGATCAAGATTATGATAAAACAATGTAGTTAAAATTAGTGTATATCGTGTACTTTTCGAGATTTATTAAGGAATCTTGACTTGAGAAAGCTCATATATGTGGTTAAAGTTTGAATACTCAAAAAAGATAGAGCATAATTGCTTTACAAAACGAAGGAAGATAATAATGAGTCAGCATCTGTAATAATCAAATATACGACGGACGGATAATTAAGCAAATATCAAAATATTAGCAAAGCGCATTTTAACTCCAGAACATGACACATCCATTACTGCAAGCTACTGCCAAAGTGCCATCATAATAATCAAACTGAAATTATCACGTAAATTAAAAAGAAAAAAATTTTAAGGAAAAATGATATTCTGGTGCTAGTTAATTTCTGCCGGAATAAAACTTTTCCGCCAGAAAATTTAAAAATAAAACAAAAAACACCAAACTAAAAATAAAAATGACCCTCGTCAAGTCAATATCGAACTTCGGTGATTCGGCGAGAAGTTTGGGACGTAGGCCAGGTGTAAATACTTTGAACACACGGTATTTTGAAATGCACATTTGAGTACCAGCATTAAGACGTACTTGTCGTATAGGACCATTATTTTCAATGGAAACTTCCTTCAATAAAATTTAATTTTTGATTTTTTTCTTCTGATTTCAATCACATTTTCTCCAAACACTTGAAAAAATCGTTTTAGAAACAAAACGCACGTTTAAAATTTTTAAACTGGTGGGGTCTACCGATAGTAGTTGCCCTTTTACATTTCCACAAAGCAACTGCCCTTGTCGTAAAGAAATTGTTTGAGCATAAGCTTTCAACTGTAATTCGTTTATAACTTTCCACATCCTTTTATCTACACATACTATTCGTCGATCTTCACCACATGAATATAAGTAGTTGCTTCCACTCTGCAATTCTGTATCATCATATCCATTGATCATACTGTATGACTCATAAGATCATAATCAAAGAATAGTTCAAAAAATGAAATTCGAAAAAAAGCCTTTGTCAAAAATTTCAAGAGTTAGATAAAGAAGTAAATACATCTTGAACAAGATGGAATACAGCGCTTCGATGATATAACATATCAGCAATTTTTTGCAAAGAATTACGAGCATCCAAAGCAATCACGCGGCGTCCAAATGTAGAACAAATCGTTACTGCACCATCATTTACAACACAAAGCGCTGCTGAGGCCATTTGAACATCACAAATTCGCTAAGACACAGAAACCTGTGAGTAGCCAAAACGAAAACAAAAATATCTGTTTTGTTTTCAATCTGTTTTTCAGATGCAAAAAACTAAAAATTTAGTTTTTCACAAATAGGTATTCAATTTGGTTTTGTATAAAAAGAGTTCACATTTTTTAAATCTAAATTTTCATAAACACTTGATAACTGTCCTATACTTCGATATACGATACAAATATCATTAGCAGATCAGTCAATATTTCAACTTTAACGAATAATAATAAAAAATAAGAATCTGCATTACACTGCAGTCAATTCCGAAGAATGCATTACATATATAAGTACCAAATTCTTACGTTAATACATCCATTACCAATTTGCCACTGTTTCACATATCGATCCCATGCACATGAATAAAATATGTCATTATCTCCTTTGCATAAATTCCAGATCCAACCCTAGAAAAAATGCGGTAGTATAATAAATAAAAAAACTTTTATTGAATACCCCAAAGCATTTAGAATGATCAAAGCAACCATAACTAAATAAAAAGCTCAGATTAGTCATGAAGCCGAAATTAAGCTAATATCAAACATTATTCCTAAAAACCCACTATTTCATAAAATGTATTCAAATAAGTCCTTGCTGTTTAGAAATATGCTGTAAGCATCGATCCACATCTTTATCCAGCAGAATTTTCAATCATGTTTGAAACTTGACTGAATGAAATTTTTTTTAATTTTACCTGATGAGCCTCAGGAACATGACATAACCTCCAAATTTCTTTATCCATTTTTCTCTGCAAAAAAACATGCTTTTAATTTTCACACAACTGTAACATTATTCTCACTACAAATAAATAAGTTTAATAATTCAGAAAAATACATGGATTGTTACACAAGAAACTGCATAACTGGTTACTACAGGTCCTAGGATAGAAACCAATTAACACAAACGAATAAGTTTGAGTGGAAAAATTTTGAAATTTAGAAAAGTCGTTACAGCTACTGCATCCGTGTCCCACAGGACTAAAGCACGATCACGAGCACCAGAAATACAAAGACGCTTATGCGCAGACGATTTCATGAGTCCCACAGTGTCCACTGTTGCATCATGACCGGATGCCGAAACAGGTTCTTCCAATCTGAAAAATGAATCCGCAAACCTCCTAATCCGAAAGAATGTGTCACTATGAATCAGAATTCTTCAAGAAAATGAAAATCATACATTCCACTTCTCCATCGATCTTTCTCTTCCTCTGTTTTGGCGCAAGAAAATGACAATGAAGAAACAGGACCTTGCAACTGGCAGGATGGTAACTCGACCCCGTGCCCTTTCTGAATATATTTGAAACGTTGCGCTTATGCTAGACTGAGTTTTTAAATAAAACTAATGAATCTAAAATAAGTAAAATAAAAGA